GCATATACCCAGAGAACATGGCATCTCATACGAATGTGACACCTGCAACAAACTCAAACGTCTATCTCAAGCTACAAAAGGGTTAAGGGTCTAAGGTCCAAGCCAAGTCCCAAGGAGTAAACACCCTACCCGGTAGAGGATGCAACGTAACACATCAGCGAGGGTCGATGCTGGGCGTCGGCTCGTTGTTTAGTTGCACCAACCACCCGAGGTTGCCTGTTTAGGGTTAGGTTTTCGGATTTTCCGGTTTTAGGGTTTTAGGCTTAGGGTTTGATTTAGGGTTTAGGGTTTAGGATTTAGGTGCAGTTTCAGGCACAAGGGGGAAGCTTTGTTCGGGGACCGTTGAGGTTCAGGCTGCGACTTGATAGACTTGGTAGTTTCCCTAAAGAGGCAGACCCCAATCTTAGACGCCAACGTACCATGACCCTTATTTTGGGATCCCCCAACATGGCGCTCCTAGTTTGACACCATAAACGATAAATTGGCTTGGGACTTAAGGCCTATGAAGGGAACGGAACCCCCCACTTATCACCCTGGTAAGAAACATCATAATGAGCAAAACCCTAAACCCTAAATAGTAGTGTCGATTTTCTTTTCCTTTTTCCAATATAACCCCGAATAACCCCTAAACCCTAAACCCTAAACCCCCCTATAATAGAAAGGTATCCCCGCATCCAGCCCCCAGTTTCCCCTGAGCTACGCAGAGCTTCAGTCCATGGCTCATGCCTTTTCACGCCTGTCCTGGTATGTGCCCATATCATGGGTTTGAAGGGTTTAGGGTTTAGGGTTTAGGGCGTTCCCTCTTTACTAGTTACTAGTCCCCACTGAGTTGCCGCCTTTATGCAGGTTGTTTAGGGATAATTCGACCTCGTTTAGGCCAATTAAGGGGAAACCTGCAAAGGGGGGGTAGACTACAGGGGGGTAGCAGCCCATGACAATATGATCTGGCCAGGCATGATGAAGGTCCTTTCTCAGTTGCATCATGAACCCTTTTTGGGGGGGGATGTGGGGCGGCGTATGCATGGAGACTGATGCTCCCACAAGCCCATCTGGTTTGACGTGGCAATACAAGCGAGATATCCTTTTTGGAGACCCTGCAAGTGGAATCTCAGCATGGGCACACACCGAAGAATAGGAAAATCCATACCAAACCCTAATCTCTAAACTCCCAAACCCTAAGCTCCCAAACCCTAAACTCCCAAACCCTAAACTCCCAAACCCTAAACTCCCAAACCCTAAGCTCCCAAACCCTAAACTCCCAAACCCTAACTCCCAAGACCCTAAACTCCCAAACCCTAACTCCCAAAATCCACCCCTCAACTCTAAGTTCCAGCAGGGTGGCGCATGGCCCGGCTATCCGCAAAACTGAATGTATCAGCGGGCGACCCAGGATAGATGTACCTTGGGCTTAGGGTTGAGGGTTTCGGGCTTAGGGTTAAGGTTTTAGGGCTTAGGATTTAGCACTTAGGGTTTAGGACCTCGGGGATCAATGAGGCCTAGAATTAGAACATGAGCATTATTACGATTATTTCTATAGTGACGATTCTTATTATTACCCTGACTATGACTCTTATTGTTGCTATCATTATATTACAGGGCTTGGGCTTTAGGGTTTAGAGTTTAGGGTTTTGGGGCTTAGGGCTTCAGCTTTACGGTTGAATGAACTTCCAAACCTTTGGGGGGTGTAACCGTCTATATTAGGGGTCATACCAGGGGCTATATATAGAACTATATTGCTAATATTGTCCTAAGCCCTGAGCACCTAAGCCCTAAGTTACAAGCGGTGGCAAGCTGCAACTCTGGCACGCTTGGATATATCCTGACCCGGTTGAGCCGGGAAGCTTCTGGCAAAACACTTCACGCTGACTATCGTTGGTCGGGTATCAAACCGCAGATTTTTATCCCAATATAACCCCTATATAACCCTAATATAAACCCAATATAACCCTAATATGACCCTTACATAACCCTAATAAAGCCCTAATAAAACCTGCCAATTGCACACAAAAGGCCAAACTGCAAGGCTTAGCACTTTCTTGGAGGGTCTGGGAGACTTATCACGTGGCTTAATAAAGGGGATAACTAGGGTTACTATATGGATTATAGGGGTTATCAACCTACTTACTAAGTCTCCTGACCCTCCAAGTAGCGTTGGGACCCTGGACGATTTGTGGTTCAGGGGTTGCGGGCTAGGACCGAGGATTTGGTTTTCAGCTTTCAGGCTTTAGCCGCCTCGGATTTCAAATCTAAACTTTTGGGGGCTTAGTGTGTAGGGCTTGGAAGTTGGGATTTCGGCAAACCCTAAACCCTGAAACGCTGTGGGCATTCATCGGCCTCTGTATTGCAGGCGAGGTACCAGAAGTAAAGACCCTGCAAGCTGCGAGGTGCTGTGCTTGAGGTTTAGGGTCTAGGGTTCAGGTTTGAAGGTAAGGGGCTTAGGGTTTTGGGGTTTAGGGCTTTAGAGGTTCAAGGTTAGAGGGGCTCAGGCATCTGGGCTTAGGCTCAAGGGTTCAGCGTTTGGAAAGGTAGGGATTCTGTTTAGAGTTTCAGGGTTCCGTGTTAAGGGTTCAAAATTCCTTTCATGAGTGGTAATACGTCTTCAAGACCTAACTACGCGTTCAGTTGGGTCAATCCCCCATCCAGTAAAGGGTACCACAGAGGACTATCGTAAGTATCTTAAGGCCCTATTAACTCCATTCTAGGGAGCTACTACCATAAGGGGGATTGACCTCAGCGTTTGATTCTCAAAGGTTACCTACGCGGCCACCAAGGAATGATGTTCAAGCATACTGCACAACAGCCATCACGCTTTCTGCCCACTAAGCATCAGATTGCGTAGAGCCACATGGGAACTCCTCGAATTCCCGATCCAGACTGCTTGCAACAAAGAGATGCCCTAAACCCTAAGCCCTTCGCCCTGTTGGCCACAAGGTGTACGGTTTACGATTCTCAGTCCTGCCACGGGACCTTGCATGGGAGTCTGTATACAACACGTCCTTAAGAATTCAGGGTTTACGGTTGCTTTACTGTAAACACTAGCTGTTGCTCTGTAAGCAACAAGGGAATCGACGCCTATAGTGGTCCCTAACCCTAAACCCTAAACCCTAAACCCTACGTAAACCCTAAACCCTAAACCCTAAACCCTAAACCGTATACAAATCCCTTTTCTTACCGCCCGAGATCGCCACTGCCAACCCTAAATCCTGAACCTTAAATGATGCGGAAGCTTTCATTTTCTCTTCCATTCCGTACTAGCTACCCTTAACCCCTTAGATCCTATATTATCCCAAGCCTTACGCCTCAAACCCCGAATCCCAAACCTCTAAACCCTAAGCCCTAAGCCACAAACCCTCATGTTGGAAACATCTTTGTCTTATGGCACCTCCCTCCTTCTGAAGCTTGGCAATTCGTGGGGTTGAACCCAAATCTCCCTTCCTATTGCTAGCCTTATAGGGTTTAGGGTTTAGGGTTCATGAAGCTCTGAACAGAGGTCCTGCTGTTTAGGATTAGGGCTTAGGGTGCTACGGTATAAGGTTTTAAGGTTTCGTTTGTTTTTTAGGCGCCTGGTTGCCACCAGCTTACCGGTTGGAATGCTCATACAAGCAGGCGCAGCTCGGGTTTAGGTTTTAGGGTTTCAGCCCACCGTTCGACACTGCAACGTCCTTGTCTGCCTGCACATTTCCTACATGAGGTAAAGTCCATGTTCCCAGCTTCCCCCCCCTAAACCCTAAACCCTAAACCCCTAAACCCCTAAACCCCTAAACCCTAAACCCCTAAACCCCTAAACCCTAAACCCTAAACAGCCAATGTCTACACTCAAAGATGCTCCTAAGAACACCAACCCGCGTCCTGAAACACCAAAAGACCGAGATGCAAACCGCCGAACCAAGAAATATAATGAGTTATGTAGGGATAATGGAAAAGAACATGGAAGCTACTATTTAGGGTTTAGGGTTTATAGGGATTATGTAGGGATAATGGAAAAGAAAATGGAAGCTACTATTTAGGGTTTAGGGTTTATAGGGGTTATGTAGGGATAATGGAAAAGAAAATGGAAGCTACTATTTAGGGTTTAGGGTTTATAGGGGTTATGTAGGGATAATGGAAAAGAAAATGGAAGCTACTATTTAGGG